TATACCTTTTGAATTTGAATAGAGAATATAATTGTGGTATCCAAACTAATATGGCTCCGAACGTTGCTATTGCTTCAAATAGATAACCAACTGAACAAGAATATTTATTATCCAATGCACATTTAGAAAAATAACTCCACTTTTTATCGAGCACTGTCACATTCATTATAAATAAGTGACAAAATATAATAGTTATCTAAAACAGTTGATCATTCATTTCATTGTACAGTCTAAATTTTCTTATATTGTTAAGATTCAGAGTGTGTACGTTCTAGTCACTACTCACTGTTTACTGTCTGTCAGATATTTCTCAAATAGTAAACAAAAATTATTTTCGTTGACCAAAAATCGACGCTGTATGAACATTGTTTTTTTGTATGTATCCTCTTCTTAAAATATCACTTTTAAAATTGATTCTGAGAAAGAATATAACAGCTGGCAAATGAAAAAGACCGTATATTTATCCGATAAAATTAAAGGAAATATGTATTTTATGAAGTTTTTTAAATGTTTTACTCATCTGGTGTTGTATTTAAAAATAAAGAGAGCGAGCGAGAGAAAATGTACGTTATTTCTCATAAGGCTGAGTATATTCATTCTTCTTAACTGTTATCAGACGCATGCTGTGTGTATGATTCATCATCAAGGATTTCTTTTTTTTAATGTCATTTTAGAAAAAAAGGAACACTTAATAATAATCAAAAAAAAAAAATTACATTCGTTCTATTCTTTTATTTCTTTTTTTTTTGACATTTGTTTATTAACAACGAGTTTTGCTTACATTAAGTAATGGATGACAATGGTATGATGGTCCATCTCGCTCAAATATAATATAACAGAAGAATTGACCACATATACTTAAACAACTGCTCGATCTGCAACAATGACAACAACAAAACGATCTTATTCACAAAATTTAGCACTGTTATCTATTGGTTTTATTCTATTTATTGCCTTAATTTATCAACCATTACCACAAGATTTTCCTCAACCATGGAAATATCGAGTTATTTGTTTTGGATCAAAATTAGTGACAAAAATAGTGTGTAAACTAGAAAATATTTATTTATTTTTAGCTAATGCAAACGTTTTATTTCAGAGTTATGTTCTTGAAAACTTAAATTTATTAAAACGTATTGAAGCAATTCGATTACTCTACTATATATCTATTGGATGTTTTCAAATTAGAAATCCACAACATCAACTCAAAGTAAGAGATACTGCTTTATAGTAATACAGCGTGAACAGCAGTGACATGAATTGTTTTCTTATTTCACCGATCTACACGGTGGTCCGAAAGTCACCCGGCAGTCTTTAATTGCGATTTTTGGAACACTTCCGAGTAATCTAAAAATCTCATTCGACAGAGACTTAAATTCTCTACAAATCTGATATTTAAATCTTTGATAGTATTTTTTCTCGTTTGAGCACCATTCAATTTGGTGCTGAGTTGTCGAACTGCGACGTGCTTTTGTCGTCTTCTTTTTTTTTGAGATTTTTTGCCAATTGTCTGAGGTTCAATATTCAATTTTTCTACGTAGATAGATGGAGAATTTTATGCTCGGTCGATCTCACTCATTTACAATTCTATACAATGTTTTTGCTACGTCAACTGGACTCATAATTAGTTCTCAATCGGCTTATCACTTTTTTCAAATTAAATTAATTTTTTGTCTTAACGGTTTCAATTGAGAAATTTTAATTATATATCAAGAGATGCAGAATCTAATTCTGTGTAAGTTAATAAGACTAAAATCCTGGATATCAGAACGTTTTACTGCTTTTATAGTTAAAAATAACTAAAGTTTGTGAAAAATAAGTTCAAAAGTTAAGCTGTTTAAGATTTATGCCGAATTTTCCGCTGAGTCTTCTGATATTTTCAAAATTCTTATGTAATCTATTTTTGGATCAAGGCAAATATTTTTCTATTTCCAGTGTGTCGCAGTTCGACAACGCAGCGACGAAAAAACGAGAAAAAATACTATCAGAGATTTAAATACCGGATATGTAGAGAATTTGAGTCTCTATCGAATGAGACTAAAACCAGATTTTTAGATCACTCGGAAGTGTTCCAAAAATCGCAACCAAAGACTGCCGAATGACCTTTGAACCATCCTGTATTTTCACTATACGGTTTGTCCAGGCGTGACGCTGTGACATTTTTGACACAGTAATTTGAGTTTTTCTCAAAAAGTGTACGAGCTAGAAACTTCGTTCTTGCGCCATTCGACGCAGCTCGCCATACTCTACTTTTGGTATAAAAATGAAAGTATGTGATTAAAGACCCGACATTTTAGGACCGTTTTTCGGCGCTTGATGCTGTGACAAAAATAGGTCCTAAATTCGAAGTTCTTCTTATTAAAAGCTAATTTGCTGCGAATTTAGAAGAGCTAATAAAAAGCGCCTCGAGCAAATTGTAGAGAAGTAAACGAGCTACTGAAACGAGCTACGAATTACTGGGGAGTGGCAGTATTACTATTACTCATGGCGCCACAACCAATATGAAATAATATGGTGGTTTCCCGTTGATAGTGGCACTCCTACTGAACTTTTTTTCTTGTATTACTTTACCGAAAAGTAATACTGATTTTATGAATATTACAGTTACTGGTAACGCTAATACTGCCAGTATTACAGTTACTGGTAATAGGAATATATACAATATTTGTATTACTGGTAACAGTAACAGTAATGTGCCATCCCTACTACTGATAGCTAAAAAAGAATCTTTCCAATGAGCTTTCCATCCTTCAATAATTGTGTTTTATCGTCGTGACGCTATCGTCACATAAAAAATTAATGTGAGATTCGTAATCAACACCAAAAACTGCATCTAGTGATATGCTCCTTTCAGTTCTACTCTAAAATAAGTTTTTCAAAAACTTAATCAGCGAAGTGTTGAGTTACGTGGACAAGCCGTATAATACTTTATCTTAATGTTACTCTTCTTAATCCTATAGAATTACATACTTTTCTTTGTCCGTCGTTAGATTTATGATATGATTGTGGGTAATGTATCAGTACGTGTATATCAACCGCTTGAATATGGTTCTCAAGATTTAATGCCAGCCATTATACATTTTCATGGTGGTGGATTTATGATCGGGTGTATAGATACGTATGATGTGGTCACTTATACAATTGCCAATCAAACAAGAGCAATAGTATTATCTGTTGAGTATGTGATATGTTTTCTATTTATCATAGAATCAGTTCAATAACATTTTTTCATTTATCTCAGATATCGTCGTATACCTGAACATAGTTTTCCATCGGCTCTTAATGATTCAATGTCAGTAGCTTTTGAAATATTTCATAATGCACTCAGATATAAAATTGATATTAATCGAATAGCTCTTGCTGGTGATTCAGCCGGGGGTAATTTAGCTCTAGTCATTACTCAACATTTAATACGTGATGGTTTTAAACCAAAATTGACTTGTCTGATGTATCCAGTTCTACAATTTTTTGATTTTACATTACCATCTTATCAACAATATTTACCCAGAGGTTAGTACAACAATGCAAAACGTATCGTTTCTAAATGTTATTAATTGATTGCTTTTTTGATCATGTGGAATCTCTATCACCTTGGCAAGGTAGCACCTGAAGGTGCTAAAAGGTGAAACTCCCAATACTAAGACGTCCAGTCACGTTAAGAGATTGTATGCGCCTTTGTAAGTGGTTGTGATTACCATTTTAAGAGGTTGTGTCCTCCAAATTTCCGTCCAACTTTATCCTAAAAACCGACAGTTTTAGGGTATAAAACTGTTACTCCCTTTTCTTCAAAGATAGTGAGAGCGTTCCACAAAACCTAGTACTAATCTTTTTTCAAAAGTATACAATTTAAGGCTACTTATGTATATAATACAACAAGTACTATTAAGTCAGCACCTTGTAGATGTAAACAAAAAGAGAAACATAGTTAAATGGTTTTCCAAAAATTTGCTTAGAGATCCTGTTCAAGTTAGAGAGTTCTGTTTATTTGTCGTACGATCATTAGAAAGAGCAACTCACATGCTTAACATACACCACATACATAGAACATAGATCATAAGAAAACACACATCACATTTACACGAATAATGAACCCGAATTCACGAACTTAATTTCATGAGATAAGCGTATTTATTTTTGAACTAAATTATCCAAAAGTAAATATGTAAGAGTACGAATTCCTCGACCTATGCAATGTATGATGTTCCAGTCGTCTCTGAAATTCTGAAACAGAAGACAAAGTCAACAAACATCAGTCCGAGAACTTGGAAGATATTTGATCATATACCTAAATCGTGATTGGTGCATTACCATTTCGTAGGAAATACTTTGACTGTCTAACCCTAGAAGAAAACTAAAGATGTTTCTAAAACAGAATTTTACAGAGAAACGAAGTTAAATTGGTTTTAAAATTTTTCTTTTTATTAATAAAAGTCCACATGTCCTGATTCTTGAATGATAACGACTGCGGATCTCAATCTCTTTTCAAACCAAATGTTTTTTAAATAATTTTCAACTAGATTGTACTAACAGTTCTACTAAATTTACGATACTTTGAAAAATATAATTTTTTTTATCTAGGAATATTGGGAATTATTAACCAAGAAAATCTTGTATATGTGATTAGTCAATTGAGTGGTCGTGTTTTGGTAACACATGATATGATGCAAAATAATCATACATCAATTAATAATAAACAACGTTTATATCCATATTTGAATCCACAAGAATATCTACCAAAACATTATCAACCAACTGTAAAATCATTGGATATGACTGAAAATCCTTTAATGACAAAAACACTTGAATATCTTACTACACCAGATATATCACCATTATTAGTGTCAGATCAAGAATTACAAAAATTACCAATAATTTTATTATTTACAGCTGAATTTGATATTCTAAGAGATGAAGGTAAGTAATTAAGATTGTATAATTAGTACAATTTTTTTTTCTTCTTTACAAAAATATAACATGATATTTTCGATTCATTTAGGTTTCATATTTGCTGAACGTTTAAAACGTTTAAATAAACAGTTGTATCACTATCATTTCAACTCGGCATTCCATGGTAGTCATGTTCTCTTAAATGGACCATTAAAATTTGATTATGCATGGATAATGATTGAAAAAACAACGGAAGCGATTAGAAAATATCTCTAAATCTCACTTTTATCATATTTATTTATTAGACAATCTTATTTTAACAAAATTCGTCTGATATTTTTATTTTTCTTCTTCTATTACGTCCAAGAATGATATCTCATGAAATTAGTAACAATCACTATGATTTTTAAATGTTAAAAAAAGATTATGTCTGACAAAAAATGAAGATTTATGAATGATGTGACAGAAACGAACATAAGTATAGTTTGAGTAAAACAATCTGACTCATAATTAGGAATAAGTTCGAATTAACTGAATGTTTTCTATGCAGAGAATTCTCATTATTTTTTGTTTAAAGTTGATTTCTTCTAGATTATATAGCATGAATGTGTTACAGATTGATGTTTTCACATGAATTAGTTGTTGTGAATGAAAACTATTTGTTTCTATTGATATTTGTTGCTATTGTTGTTGTTATTTTGTACGCGAATGCTCATAGATTTTTACTATGCAATTCATTTGCATATTGTATTCTATTTACTTTAAATTTGAATTCTATTTTTATGATGCTGAACATATTTTATAGTGTTTTCAGATATCTATTTTTCTTTTCTTTTTTCTTTTGAATAATGAATTCTTTTTTCTTGTTGGTTGTATGTTCAAATCGATATACACTGTTGTTATCGTTTATAAAATGATGCCTAAATGTCCATATGAAAGAGAATTATTTTTTTTTGTCTTGTTAAGTACATATGATTTATTCTTAATATAAATAAACAAATACACAAAGAATACAACAATCAGATACTTTTACTGTTTTGTTAAAAATAGACAAGAAAAATTAAACATTCAAGTATATTTTCAATTTATCTCTCTGAGATACTCTGTTCGTAAGAAATGAGCTAGAAATGAATTTCTCGTTAGAGAATATATCAAACGAAAAAGGATTGTGAACAGATACATTGGAAAACCTTCAAGCTGATGAATGGTCTCGTATATGTGGGTAAAAACTTTAACTTAAACGGATACGACTTCAACGGAGGTCGTATGCAATCCGTCCGAGTGGTGTTCTGAATCTGAAACGTTGATACACAAAAGCTACTTTTTGAGGACTCATAGCAAAATGATTATAACTCTTGAAGAAAACGTTGAGACTAGCTAAGACGTTTTATTTTGTAGAGTGAACTCTTCTATCTGCATGACTAGGTAAAAAGCTTTCAAATACTAGAAAACAGAGAAAAGATTTTCAAAAGTTAAAAGATATAGATTTGTCATCGTCAAGTAACATATTAATTTATATCTATCCAAGTAAAGTGGTAGAGATCTGGGAGTGATCTCTTGTAGAGGACACTTGACGTTACAAATTAAACAATTTTAGTAAGTTGAAATGTGTGTTCTTCGTTTTCAGATATCGTTTTATCAGGATAAAATGGATCAGGGTACAGTATCTAGTGGCTTCTACGTGATATGGCCAATATTGAACATGTCTCAAGTTTCGTAGTTACAGTTTCATTCTAATGGTATAATACACGAGCAAATATAAAACTCACTATTTCCAGTCATGATAATTATAGGGTTAATTAAATTTAATGAACTTTAGAAGTTAAAACAACGGCTGAGTCGCGTATTTCTGCTACCGGGGTGTGAGTGGGTTGCTGGTTTTACTCCTTTTGTTTATCTTACAATAGTTGAAAGAAACATTGTAGAAATTTGAGAGATGTCTTGTTTTGTAGCTAAAAGTATGCTTTTCAAAATCCACTCTGGGATCAACTCGGTTCACTCACTCATATTTGCAACACAACTAAAATGCAGTAAGCTGAAAATCAAAATTCATTTTTTTCGGAGATGCTGGTATTTCGATTGTGGTGTAAATACGGTTGAGTGAATCGAGTTGATCCCAGAGTGGATTTTGAAAAGCATACTTTTAGCTACAAACAAGACATCTCTCAAATTTCTATAATGTTCCTTTCAACTATTGTAAGATAAATAAAAAGAGTAAAAATAGTAACGCACTCACACTCCGATGGCAGAGTTACGCGATATAGCCGTATAATACAATTTCAAATAATAGGAAATACAAAGTGATATATACAAAGAATAGAAATACATCATAAACATAATCACATAACTACCAGAAAAAACCATATGATCTGTCATAGCAAATAGTTCTAGCTAGATCTATACTGTAACAAAAACATAGACACTCCTATAGATGTAATGCACGACGACATATGAGATATGCCGTTGCACGAACCAGACACAATTTAAATATTAAAAGAATAAAACGAGAGCATTCCAACGTACGATATTATCGGTTTGCCGAAACGATTATGAGCAATCAGGAGCTAACGAAGCTGAAAGTGCTCTAGTCGTGCTCTGTATTAATTGTTGTTAACACAATGTTTACTCCAATACTTTTATTTCCGTGTTTCTTTTTTTTTTCTCTATAACTTCTTAAAGACCGCACCCAGTTTTATTTTTTGGGTCTGGTTTATAGGCAACATTTAGAAATTTCTTTAAACTGTTTGGAAGAGAAGTACTTTTATAACACATTATCCTTTAAATAAAAGGATTCTTATTATCGGTTAGGTTTATTTTCCATTTTGAATAGGACTGAATTGACAAATTACATGAACAACGTACCTTCCTTACCGACTAATGGCGAAAACATCTGAACTATTGGATTAAGTATAACAAAACAAAGTATTCGTGCATGAGTATTACTCTTTCAAGTGATTCTGAAGAAATCGTACATTCTGATTAAAAGTCAAGAAAATGAGAAACTATTCATCTTTTAACGGGTGGTCCAGATTTAAATTGCCGGCCTTTGCAAGGCTTTTTTCTCAGGTTAAGCTTGATCCAAAATTTTGTTTGGATTCTAAAAGATAGAGAATTTTGCCTGGATATATGGTCATATATTCCTTTTGAAAAAAATATCTGCCGTTTTTCTACAGCATTACGAATGCTGGAAGCCATAAAAAGTAGAGTTGCTCAGCACTTTGTATAGAATAAAGTGTACTTTTTAGTATTCTAACCAGTTTTGTTGCGCGATTTAAACAAGACATTAAAAACTAGAATAAAGTCTTAATATTTCAGATATAAAACTAAATTTTGGGACGATGTTTAACGATCATGGAAATCGATTACAAATATGCCGCTTTATCTGACTGTTGGCGCCTTTCATTGTATAGGTAAATGTCACAAATTCGTCATTTATTATCACAGACAGTAAACTCTTTGATACAGGATTTGGACTCCTTTAGATTCCTTGAATGCTTTTCGATAGAAAGAATGATAGTCAAATTAATCGATGATCAATGTCAGAGTGATTTCCTTTCACTTGTCCGATCTCCAATGATGAATGACGATCAATGAATATTGTTTTAAGTTTAGGACCTCATGAGTACGTCGACAAAGTAATGATCACTGAGATGATCGAAGTACTGAGAGATATCCTATCAACACAACTTCGACGCTTGATCTATTTTAAAGCTGGCTTCGTACTGAGCTTTTTCTGAAAAAGAGGAATTAAGAAGGAATCGCAAAATCTTGAAAGGAGGAACGCCATCAAAAAAGGAGGATGTAAATCCTAAGTTAAAAACGCTAATTGCACAAATGAAATCCAGTTCAAAATTTTACCAGAGGTACTCAAGAGATACAGAGGTAATTTTTTGGAATTTTGGACTTTTCTTTACGGACTTATAGGGTTTCTAACATTGAAAAACTGGGTTTTTGAGACATTTTTCAGTATTTTCCCTATAACTCGACCAAAAAGATCTCAAAAAAATTTTCGACAAATTACATCTGCGGAATGATCTTGAGAATCTATGGTTACATTTTTAACTCGATCGGATGAAATTTAAGGGGGTTCGTAATATGGCACAATGAAAAACTGGTGAACGGCCATAGTTGAAAACTTGAAACAAAAACGAAAAAGTGCTCCATTAAGTTTCCAATCAGTTCTGAAAATACGAAGCCCTAGCGACTTTTAGTTTTTATTTCACAGCATTTCTACGCAAAGCCCCAAAAGAGGGGAGGTGTACCCTTAAGAAGGCTCTTTGATCAAACGCTGTTGGGATACTAGTCAACTTTGTCCAAAAAGGAGGTAAAAGAAGGAGAAAATTTTATTTAGGAGAAATGAGGAGGAAAGGAGGACGAGTACGATGCCAGATTTTAAAGATAAAAAAGACGGCGACTCACTTGCCCATTCAAGTCCCAACACGTATGTATTTATTTCATTGAGTATAAACAGTCTTTTGCTGCGATATATCGCACGTATTGAAGTATCCGAGCTCAGTGTTTCTTTCTTTATGCTTGAATATTTGGCAAAAAGTTCATCGAAGTTGTGTGTTTCTTCATGAGTTCGGATGACGAGAACACCAATGATCACGTAGATATTCCAGATTCTCATTCCAAATCCTTCAAAATCAAGAAGAAACTTTCTTCAGCTGTTTTATACTTCAAACTTTGTGTTATTGGATCGGTGTACTATCAGTGAACAGCTACGATACGGTTCTTATTTATTTTTAGTAAAATACGTATAATTAATAGCTACGTCTTCTCAACCTTGACCACGACGAGCTTAACGAGAAAGCGTATAGAGAAAAGCACAGTTGATATCAATGTAAAACGTGCTATGTCGAAAAGACAAGCTCACCTAATCGAGATCCACTCGTTTGATTGCGAGTTTGTGATACTTTCAAAGCCTTGTAGAAATGGTTGAGACACATGAAAACAGTTAGAAATGCTGCCATTTTTGCAGGGAATACGTGTCTAAACAATATTGTCAATATTTCAAATTAGACATTTAATCATTGAATATTTAAAAGCATCGCTGGACTATAGTTAACCGTTGTTTGAAGGACATAACGCACTCTTTACGGAACGCTTTCGAGGCTAATATATACAAGATGAACGTAATCTATAAATAAACGATAACAGAATTCGAACTGATTTGAAAAAAAAACAAAGAGACTCACCGCCGCATACGTAAAAAGGAGATTGAGGCCAATTCTACCGAGAACTAAATTTATCAATCGTTTAGTGATGCTCACCATGGCTTGAGCACCTGTCAAAAATGAGTAGAGAGGAACGATTGACTAGACTGAGTTGAGCAATAGATAAAGACGACGGTGTATGTGTTTGAGACTCTCCATGTTAACATATTTTTTAGTGCCTCATTTATATCGCCCGTCATATTAACAATAACAACATGTGATATGGCTAAACAAAATAGAATAAGGAATCAATCATATTCTCGATCTCCTCTTTCAATTGATAATAAACCACCACTATCGATCAATAATATATAATCAAAATCAGATGAATTTGCTTTTACTACCGAATCATAAGTATCATAAATACATTGTCCTTCTCGAACATCGAACAATGTACCAAACATATAATTGAGTAATGTACTTTTTCCAGAACTTTGTGGTCTATACTACATATTTTATATGTTTAGTATACTATACTACATATTTTTCTATGTTTAAGTTTTTCTAGTATTTTCGTTCTCCGCTGTTTTAACTAGTATGTATATTCATCTCTCTTCTAAATTCACAGTCATATTAGCCTGATGATGATACTGTGAAGTATCGAAAGCTCGCTTCTTGTGTAAAATGATTTTACGAAAATGTTTTTCAATTATTTTAAATATACTTAGTTTTATACTTTTTATGTCGTCTGTTTGATATTCATGACAAACGATAGCATTACGACATAAAACTTCTAAGGATTGAGTATTCTCCTGTCCAATCTGATGTATACGTTCATTTGTTATTCTGTTGGATGTCCAGAATGTCTAATGTTGATAAATAATCACCCGACTGAAATAAACTTAAAAATCGTTCAAATATTTGGCCACAATCAGCTTGTGTTTCACATTCAATTTCATTTCACATTCTAATTATACAATTTTCCTTGAAGACTAAATAATTCTTTACTTGACGAACCATAAACATCAATTCTTGTTAATTGTGTTCGATATTTACAAATCTCAATAAATTCTGAATAAATTCGAAAATAATCAGTCATATTACCATCTCGAATGGCTTCGAATAATATTTGTTTTAACGATCTTGTTGATTCACTTGTATCACGATAAAATTGTCGATATTCATCATTGGATAAACGTAATAATTGATGTTTCAATGCATCTCTGTCAATTGGATGACATAGAGCGGTCACTTTTTCTAATATTGATGTACGTAGCTGTTGAACAACAAATATCTTCAATAATACATGTACGAACATTTTTTAGTATATCTTGATTCAATCCATTAGTAGTATCCATTAGTTCAAGAACAATATTATTTACAATTAAATCTAAATTTTGTTGTCGTTTTAATAGATACATCATGGGTATTAAACACGCTCTTATAAATGTTTGAAATGAATGATGTGCATAAAATTCTTCGACAGTTTTCTCAATAACATTACTCATTGTTTTATTCACATAAATTAATTCAACAGCTTGTATCAAATCTGTCAAGCGCTGTTCATCTAAACCTTGTAGAATAAAATAATCAACATATTTTTGA